GTATCGTTGCAGAGGAAATTATAAAGGTGACGAGTGTTAATGCAGAAGCAGAAACGTTTACTTGGCATGTTTGTTGATTTTACGAAAATACCCTTTGCATGACACGTGTGTACCTGCCGCTACACGCGTGGAGACCATAACCGGCCGTTTTTTTGGGATGACGTCAGTAATTGTGTCCGGTTTAATTCTCAATGTCGTTTACCCAAAAGAAGATACGAAATTTTACGTGATATAAAAATTTGCCACGGAAAATTTTGAATTAGTAGATTACAATGGATACTATGAGATATGCATTTAATATAGTGCCATTTTAGTCTTTGAGAAAATTAGAGTTGGACGTAGGGTAGATCGTGATTAGTTTTGGTATCGTCGTGTCTAAGAGTAGTATAGATGTTAATCTAGTCATATTGTCTTTATTTTAGTTGTTGAACTAGCTAGTTATATTGCTTTTATTTCATACTTTTGATATAGTAGATGTTGATCTAGTTGTGTTGTTTTTATTTGAGTTAATTAGATGTTGAACTAGCTAGTTATATTGTTTTTATTGTAGTTAGATGTTGAACTAGTTATATTGAATTATTTTGTACTTTTGATATATAGTAAGTTGATCTAGTTATATTGTTTTTATTTTAGTTAATTAGATGTTGAACTAGTTATATTGTTTTTATTTTATATTTTTGGTATAGTAGATGTTGAACTAGTTATATTGTTTTTATTTTAGCTAGTTGTTGATCTGGTTTATTTTATATTTTTGATATAGTATATATTGTTTTTATTTTATATTTGATACAGTAGATGTTGATCTACTTATATTTTTTTATTTTAGTTAGATGTTGATCTGGTTATATTGTTTTATTTTATATTTTTTTTACGGAAGTTTTCATATTCATAAAAGTATTATAATGACATGTGAAAAAGGGTTTACCATTTTTGGTGTAGTACTATCAATTTTTTGTTTTCCCCTTCGTTCACGCGTACATACATACTTCATTTGGATTTGG